CATGTGTCCCCATGTCCCCATTGTCCCCATAGGAGCGCAACGCCGAGAACGCCATCGAGGCCCTCAAGGAGTACGAACCCGAGATGGGCAAGGTGTCCCCATGTCCCCATGTGTCCCCATGTGTCCTCATGTGTCCCCATGTCCCCATTGTCCCCATAGGAGCGCAACGCCGAGAACGCCATCGAGGCCCTCAAGGAGTACGAACCCGAGATGGGCAAGGTGTCCCCATGTCCCCATGTGTCCCCATGTGTCCCCATGTGTCCCCATTGTCCCCATAGGAGCGCAACGCCGAGAACGCCATCGAGGCCCTCAAGGAATACGAACCTGAGATGGGCAAGGTCTACCGCGCCGACCGCAAGGCCGTGCAGCGCATCAAGGCCCGTGACCTGGTGCCCGGGGACATCGCCGAGGTGGCCGGTGAGCGGGGACGGGGGCATCTGGGGACATTTGGGGACATCTGGGGACCTTCAGGAGCATCTGGGGACCTCCGGGGGCATCTGGGGACGTCTGCGGGCTGCCAGGGGCATCTGGAGGTATCTGAGGACATCTGGAGGCATCTGGGGTCATCTGGGGACCTCCAGGGACATCTGGGGGCATTCGGGGACATCTAGGGACCTTCAGGAGCATCTGGGGACATCCGGGGACCTCTGGGGGCATCTGGGGGCATCTGGGGGCTGCCAGGGGCATCTGGAGGCATCCGAGGGCATCTGGGGGCATTTGGGGACCTCCAGGGGTATCCAGGGACCTCTAGGGGCATCCAGGGATGCCTGGGGGCATTCGGGGACATCTGGGGATCTCTGGGGGCCTCCAGGGGCATCCAGAGACATCTGGGGACATCTGGGGGCATCCAGGGGTATCTGGGCGCATCCAGGAGCCTCCAGGGATGTATGGGGACCTCCAGGGGTATCTGGGGACATCCGAGGAGCTGTAGGGACCCATAGGGACATCTAGGAAGCCCTGAGGACCTCTAGGAGTCCCCAGGGATCTCCAGGGACATCCAGAGAACCTTAGGAGCTCGTAGGGACATCTGGGGACCTCTGGGGACGTTCACAGAGCTGCAGGGACCTATAGGGACCATAGGGACCTCCAGGAAGCTCTGGGGACCTCCAGGAGGCCCCAGGGATCTCCAGGGAGCTCTGGGGACATCCAGGAAGCTTCAGGGACCCATAGGGACCCATAGGGATCTCTAGGAAGCCCTGGGGACCTCTAGGAGACCCCAGGGATCTCCAGGGAGCTCTGGGGACATCCAGGAAGCTTCAGGGACCCTTAGGGACCCATAGGGATCTCTAGGAAGCCCTGGGGACCTCTAGGAGACCCCAGGGATCTCCAGGGAGCTCTGGGGACATCCAGGAAGCTTCAGGGACCCTTAGGGACCCATAGGGATCTCTAGGAAGCCCTGGGGACCTCTAGGAGACCCCAGGGATCTCCAGGGAGCTCTGGGGACATCCAGGAAGCTTCAGGGACCCTTAGGGACCCATAGGGATCTCTAGGAAGCCCTGGGGACCTCTAGGAGACCCCAGGGATCTCCAGGGAGCTCTGGGGACATCCAGGAAGCTTCAGGGACCCTTAGGGACCCATAGGGATCTCTAGGAAGCCCTGGGGACCTCTAGGAGACCCCAGGGATCTCCAGGGAGCTCTGGGGACATCCAGGAAGCTTCAGGGACCCTTAGGGACCCATAGGGATCTCTAGGAAGCCCTGGGGACCTCTAGGAGACCCCAGGGATCTCCAGGGAGCTCTGGGGACATCCAGGAAGCTTCAGGGACCCTTAGGGACCCATAGGGATCTCTAGGAAGCCCTGGGGACCTCTAGGAGACCCCAGGGATCTCCAGGGAGCTCTGGGGACATCCAGGAAGCTTCAGGGACCCTTAGGGACCCATAGGGATCTCTAGGAAGCCCTGGGGACCTCTAGGAGACCCCAGGGATCTCCAGGGAGCTCTGGGGACATCCAGGAAGCTTCAGGGACCCTTAGGGACCCATAGGGATCTCTAGGAAGCCCTGGGGACCTCTAGGAGACCCCAGGGATCTCCAGGGAGCTCTGGGGACATCCAGGAAGCTTCAGGGACCCTTAGGGACCCATAGGGATCTCTAGGAAGCCCTGGGGACCTCTAGGAGACCCCAGGGATCTCCAGGGAGCTCTGGGGACATCCAGGAAGCTTCAGGGACCCATAGGGACCATAGGGATCTTTAGGAAGCCCTAGGGACCTCTAGGAGTCCTGAGGGATCTCTAGGGACATCCAGAGAATCTTAGGAGCTCGTAGGGACATCTGGGGACCTTCAGGGACCTCTGGGGACCTCTGGGGACATCCAGGGACCTCCAGGGATCGCCCAGGACCCATAGGAACCTCTAGGAGTCCTCAGGGATCTCCAGGGACATCCAGGGACCTCCAGAGATCCCCCAGGACCCATAGGGACCTCCAGGAGTCCCCAGGGACCTCCGGGGACATCCAGGGAACCCTAGGAGCTCCTAGGGACATCTGGGGACCTTCAGGGTCATCCAGGGACCTCTAGGGACCTCCAGGGACCCCCTGTAACGCTGTTGTCCCCCGTTGTCCCCCGTTGTCCCCCGCTGCAGTTGGGGACAAGGTGCCGGCCGACATCCGCATCATCTCCATCAAGTCGACCACGCTGCGCGTAGACCAGTCCATCCTCACCGGTGGGTCCCCGCGCGGGTGACACCGCCGCGGGTGACACCGACGCGGGTGACACCGCGGGTGACACCGACGCGTCCCCCGCCCAGGCGAGTCCGTCTCCGTCATCAAACACACGGAGCCCGTCCCCGACCCCCGTGCCGTCAACCAGGACAAGAAGAACATGCTCTTCTCGGTGAGGGCCACCAAGGGCCACCTGTCCCCTCCGGGGTCACCCGGGGTCCCCCGTGTCCCCATGGGTCTTGGGATTCCCCTTGGGTCCCCTTGATTCTTCATGTTGTCCCCTGATGTCCCCTTGGGTCTTCTGGAGTCTCCCCTGTCCCTCAGGTCCCCTCCTGTGTCCCCAGTGTCCCCATGGGTTCCCTTAGGTCTCCCTTGTCCCCCTGGGGCCTTTGGGGGCCTCCTGGGGTCACCCCCTGTCCCCTCAAGTCTCCCCTGTCTCCTTGTGTCCCCATGTGTCCCCTGGGACCCCCTTGTCCCCTTAGACCCCGTTGTCCCCCTCAAGTCCCCTTCATGTCCTGGAGTCCCTTGGTGTCCCCTGAGGCCCTTCTTTGTCTCCCTGGTTCCTCTCTGTCCCTTTGGGTCCCACCATGTCTCTATGAGTTCCACCACGTTCCTATGGGTCCCACCACGTCCCTATGGGTCCTACCACGTCCCCATGGTCCTACCACATCTCCACCACATCCCCACGGGTCCCACCACATCCCCATGGGTCCCACCACGTCCCCATGGGTCCCACCACGGCTTTATGGATCCCACCACATCCCTTTGAGTCCCACCATCTCCCTATGGATCCCACCACATCCCCACGGGTCCCACCACATCCCCATGGGTCCCACCACGTCCCCATGGGTCCCACCACGGCTTTATGGATCCCACCACATCCCTTTGAGTCCCACCATCTCCCTATGGATCCCACCACATCCCCACGGGTCCCACCACATCCCCATGGGTCCCACCACGTCCCCATGGGTCCCACCACGGCTTTATGGATCCCACCACATCCCTTTGAGTCCCACCATCTCCCTATGGATCCCACCACATCCCCACGGGTCCCACCACATCCCCATGGGTCCCACCACGTCCCCATGGGTCCCACCACGGCTTTATGGATCCCACCACATCCCTTTGAGTCCCACCATCTCCCTATGGATCCCACCACATCCCCACGGGTCCCACCACATCCCCATGGGTCCCACCACGTCCCCATGGGTCCCACCACGGCTTTATGGATCCCACCACATCCCTTTGAGTCCCACCATCTCCCTATGGATCCCACCACATCCCCACGGGTCCCACCACATCCCCATGGGTCCCACCACGTCCCCATGGGTCCCACCACGGCTTTATGGATCCCACCACATCCCTTTGAGTCCCACCATCTCCCTATGGATCCCACCACATCCCCACGGGTCCCACCACATCCCCATGGGTCCCACCACGTCCCCATGGGTCCCACCACGGCTTTATGGATCCCACCACATCCCTTTGAGTCCCACCATCTCCCTATGGATCCCACCACATCCCCACGGGTCCCACCACATCCCCATGGGTCCCACCACGTCCCCATGGGTCCCACCACGGCTTTATGGATCCCACCACATCCCTTTGAGTCCCACCATCTCCCTATGGATCCCACCACATCCCCACGGGTCCCACCACATCCCCATGGGTCCTACCACATCCCTATGGGTCCCATCACATCCCCATGGATCCCACCACATCCCTTCGAGTCCCACCACGTCCCTATGGATCCCAGCACGTCCCTACGGGTCCCACCAACACCACCACGCCACCCACCGCCCACAGGGCACCAACATCGGCGCCGGCAAAGCCGTGGGCATCGTGGTGGCCACGGGCGTCAACACGGAGATCGGGAAGATCCGCGACGAGATGGCGGCCACCGAGCAGGACAAGACGCCCCTGCAGCAGAAGCTGGACGAGTTCGGCGAGCAGCTCTCCAAGGTCATCTCGCTCATCTGCGTCGCCGTGTGGCTCATCAACATCGGCCACTTCAACGACCCCGTCCACGGCGGCTCCTGGATCCGCGGCGCCATCTACTACTTCAAGATCGCCGTGGCCTTGGCCGTGGCCGCCATACCTGAAGGTCCGTGGGGTCCCTGGGGGGCTCTGGGGAACACCGTGGGGCCTGGGAGAACCTTGGTGGCCCCGGTGGAGCTTGGAGAACCTTGGTGGCCCCGGTGGAGCTTGGAGAACCTTGGTGGCCCCGTGGGAGTTAGGAGAACCTTGGTGGTCCCGTTGGAGTTAGGAGAACCTTGGTGGCCCCGTTGGAGCTTGGAGAACGTTGGTGGCCCCATGGGAGTTAGGAGAACCTTGGTGATCCCATTGGAGCTTGGAGAACCTTGGGGACCACATGGGAATATGTGGGACCTTGGTGGCCCCGTTGGGGCTTGAAGAACCTTGGGGACCACATGGTGACGTGTGGGACCTTGGTGGCCCCGTTGGGGCTTGAAGAACCTTGGGGACCACATGGTGACGTGTGGGACCTTGGTGGCCCCGTTGGGGCTTGGAGAACCTTGGGGACCAATGGGGACCTTGGTGGCCCCATTGGAGCTTGGAGAACCTAGAACCTTGATGGCCCCATGGCATCTTGTAGCTTCTTGGTGGTCCCATTAGAGCTAGGAGAACCTTGGTGGCCCCATTGGAGCTTATAGAACCTCGGTGGCCCCATGGGGACTTGTAGCTTCTTGGTGGCCCTGTTGGGGCTTGGAGAACCTTAGGGACCACATGGGGACGTGTGGGACCTCGGTGGCCCTGTTGGAGCTTGGAGAACCTTGGTGGCCCCATGGGAGCTTGAAGAACCTTGGTGGTCTCATTGGAGCTTGGAGAATCTTGGTGGCCCCGTGGGAGTTAGAAGAACCTTGGTGGTCCTATTGGAGCTTGGAGAACCTTGGCGGCCCCATGGGAGCTCATAGGATCTTGGTGGCCCCATGGTGACTTGTAGCTTCTTGGTGGCCCCATTGGAGTTAGGAGAACCTTGGTGGCCCCATTGGAGCTTACAGAACCTTAGTGGCCCCATGACGTCTTGTAGTTTCATGGTGACCCCGTTGGGGCTTGGAGAACCTTGGTGGCCCCACGGGGACATGTTCTGTGTGACTCCCACCCCATTCCCGTTGGATCCATAGGGATCCATGACCCCATTCCCGTTCTCCATAGGGCTCCCGACCATCATCACCATTGGGGATGGCCAAGAAGAGCCCCATTCCCAATGGCTCCATGGAGCTCCCCAGCCCCATTCCCTGGATCCGTGTGGTTCCCACCCCATTCCCGTTGGATCCGTAGGGATCCATGACCCCATTCCCGTTCTCCATAGGGCTCCCGACCATCATCACCATTGGGGATGGCCAAGAAGAGCCCCATTCCCAATGGCTCCATGGAGCTCCCCAGCCCCATTCCCTGGATCCGTGTGGTTCCCACCCCATTCCCGTTGGATCCGTAGGGATCCATGACCCCATTCCCGTTCTCCATAGGGCTCCCGACCATCATCACCATTGGGGATGGCCAAGAAGAGCCCCATTCCCAATGGCTCCATGGAGCTCCCCAGCCCCATTCCCTGGATCCGTGTGGTTCCCACCCCATTCCCGTTGGATCCGTAGGGATCCATGACCCCATTCCCGTTCTCCATAGGGCTCCCGACCATCATCACCATTGGGGATGGCCAAGAAGAGCCCCATTCCCAATGGCTCCATGGAGCTCCCCAGCCCCATTCCCTGGATCCGTGTGGTTCCCACCCCATTCCCGTTGGATCCGTAGGGATCCATGACCCCATTCCCGTTCTCCATAGGGCTCCCGACCATCATCACCATTGGGGATGGCCAAGAAGAGCCCCATTCCCAATGGCTCCATGGAGCTCCCCAGCCCCATTCCCTGGATCCGTGTGGTTCCCACCCCATTCCCGTTGGATCCGTAGGGATCCATGACCCCATTCCCGTTCTCCATAGGGCTCCCGACCATCATCACCATTGGGGATGGCCAAGAAGAGCCCCATTCCCAATGGCTCCATGGAGCTCCCCAGCCCCATTCCCTGGATCCGTGTGGTTCCCACCCCATTCCCGTTGGATCCGTAGGGATCCATGACCCCATTCCCGTTCTCCATAGGGCTCCCGACCATCATCACCATTGGGGATGGCCAAGAAGAGCCCCATTCCCAATGGCTCCATGGAGCTCCCCAGCCCCATTCCCTGGATCCGTGTGGTTCCCACCCCATTCCCGTTGGATCCGTAGGGATCCATGACCCCATTCCCGTTCTCCATAGGGCTCCCGACCATCATCACCATTGGGGATGGCCAAGAAGAGCCCCATTCCCAATGGCTCCATGGAGCTCCCCAGCCCCATTCCCTGGATCCGTGTGGTTCCCACCCCATTCCCGTTGGATCCGTAGGGATCCATGACCCCATTCCCGTTCTCCATAGGGCTCCCGACCATCATCACCATTGGGGATGGCCAAGAAGAGCCCCATTCCCAATGGCTCCATGGAGCTCCCCAGCCCCATTCCCTGGATCCGTGTGGTTCCCACCCCATTCCCGTTGGATCCGTAGGGATCCATGACCCCATTCCCGTTCTCCATAGGGCTCCCGACCATCATCACCATTGGGGATGGCCAAGAAGAGCCCCATTCCCAATGGCTCCATGGAGCTCCCCAGCCCCATTCCCTGGATCCGTGTGGTTCCCACCCCATTCCCGTTGGATCCGTAGGGATCCATGACCCCATTCCCGTTCTCCATAGGGCTCCCGACCATCATCACCATTGGGGATGGCCAAGAAGAGCCCCATTCCCAATGGCTCCATGGAGCTCCCCAGCCCCATTCCCTGGATCCGTGTGGTTCCCACCCCATTCCCGTTGGATCCGTAGGGATCCATGACCCCATTCCCGTTCTCCATAGGGCTCCCGACCATCATCACCATTGGGGATGGCCAAGAAGAGCCCCATTCCCAATGGCTCCATGGAGCTCCCCAGCCCCATTCCCTGGATCCGTGTGGTTCCCACCCCATTCCCGTTGGATCCGTAGGGATCCATGACCCCATTCCCGTTCTCCATAGGGCTCCCGACCATCATCACCATTGGGGATGGCCAAGAAGAGCCCCATTCCCAATGGCTCCATGGAGCTCCCCAGCCCCATTCCCTGGATCCGTGTGGTTCCCACCCCATTCCCGTTGGATCCGTAGGGATCCATGACCCCATTCCCGTTCTCCATAGGGCTCCCGACCATCATCACCATTGGGGATGGCCAAGAAGAGCCCCATTCCCAATGGCTCCATGGAGCTCCCCAGCCCCATTCCCTGGATCCGTGTGGTTCCCACCCCATTCCCGTTGGATCCGTAGGGATCCATGACCCCATTCCCGTTCTCCATAGGGCTCCCGACCATCATCACCATTGGGGATGGCCAAGAAGAGCCCCATTCCCAATGGCTCCATGGAGCTCCCCAGCCCCATTCCCTGGATCCGTGTGGTTCCCACCCCATTCCCGTTGGATCCGTAGGGATCCATGACCCCATTCCCGTTCTCCATAGGGCTCCCGACCATCATCACCATTGGGGATGGCCAAGAAGAGCCCCATTCCCAATGGCTCCATGGAGCTCCCCAGCCCCATTCCCTGGATCCGTGTGGTTCCCACCCCATTCCCGTTGGATCCGTAGGGATCCATGACCCCATTCCCGTTCTCCATAGGGCTCCCGACCATCATCACCATTGGGGATGGCCAAGAAGAGCCCCATTCCCAATGGCTCCATGGAGCTCCCCAGCCCCATTCCCTGGATCCGTGTGGTTCCCACCCCATTCCCGTTGGATCCGTAGGGATCCATGACCCCATTCCCGTTCTCCATAGGGCTCCCGACCATCATCACCATTGGGGATGGCCAAGAAGAGCCCCATTCCCAATGGCTCCATGGAGCTCCCCAGCCCCATTCCCTGGATCCGTGTGGTTCCCACCCCATTCCCGTTGGATCCGTAGGGATCCATGACCCCATTCCCGTTCTCCATAGGGCTCCCGACCATCATCACCATTGGGGATGGCCAAGAAGAGCCCCATTCCCAATGGCTCCATGGAGCTCCCCAGCCCCATTCCCTGGATCCGTGTGGTTCCCACCCCATTCCCGTTGGATCCGTAGGGATCCATGACCCCATTCCCGTTTTCCGTAGGGCTCCCGGCCGTCATCACCACGTGCCTGGCCTTGGGGACGCGCCGCATGGCCAAGAAGAACGCCATCGTGCGGAGCCTCCCGTCCGTGGAGACCTTGGGCTGCACCTCGGTCATCTGCTCCGACAAGACGGGGACGCTGACCACCAACCAGATGTCCGTGTGCAAGGTGCGCTGTCCCCAAGGGTGGCCTGGTGTCCCCAAGGGTGGCTTTGTGTCCCCAAGGGTGGCCCCGTGTCCCCAAGGGTGGCTTTGTGTCCCCAAGGGCGCCCTGGTGTCCCCAAGAGGGGGTTTGGTGTCCCCAAGGGTGTTCTGGTGTTCCCAAGTGGGATCTTGTGTCTCCAAGGAGGTCCTGGTGTCCCCAAGGGTGGCCTGGTGTCCCCAAGGGCCACCTCGTGTCCCCAGGGGAGGTTTGGTGTCCCCAAGATGGGGTTTGGTGTCCCTAAGAGGGGGTTTGGTGTCCCCAAAGGGCTCCTCATCTCCCTAAGGAGATCCTGCTGTCCCCAAGGGTGGCCTGGTGTCCCCAAGGGTGGGTTTGGTGTCCCCAAGGAGGTCCTGGTGTCCCCAAGGGACCCTCCACCGTCCCCATGGGACATCTTGACGTCCCCATGGGACATCTTGATGTCCCCAAGATGTCCCCACCTCCCCATGGGATGTCCCAATGTCTCCATGGGACCCTCGGCCATCCCCATGGGACATCTTGACGTCCCCATGGGATGTCCCAATGTCCCCGTGGGACATCCCAACGTGCCCATGGGACATCTTGACGTCTCCAAGATGTCCCCGCCGTCCCCATGAGACATCTTAACGTCCCCATGGGATGTCCCAATGTCCCCATGGGTCCCCCCACCATCCCCATGGGACATCTTGACGTCCCCAAGATGTCCCCGCCGTCCCCATGGGGCATCTTGACGTCCCCAAGATGTCCCCACCTCCCCATGGGATGTCCCAATGTCTCCATTGGACCCCCGGCCATCCCCATGGGACATCTTGACGTCCCCAAGACGTCCCCGCGCGTCCCCCGTCCCCACCGTCCCTCTCCCGCTGTCCCCGCAGATGTTCATCGTGGACAAGGTGGAGGGCGACGTCTGCGCCCTCAACGAGTTCTCCATCACCGGCTCCACCTACGCGCCCGAGGGGGACGTGTGAGTGACACCGGCGTCCCCAACCCTCCCCTGGTGTCCCCAAACCCGGGACGCGTCCCCCGATTGTCCCCCGTGTCCCCAACAGGCTGAAGAACGAGAAGCACGTGAAGGCCGGCCAATACGACGGCTTGGTGGAGCTGGCCACCATCTGCGCCCTCTGCAACGACTCGTCCCTGGACTACAATGAGGTGGCCCTTCCGTGTCCCCACGGGTCCCCTCGTCGCGTCCCCAAGCCCCTTTGTCCCCCCTGGAGCACCAGGTTCCTCCAGCTCCTCCTTGGGATCCGTTGGGTCTTCTTGGCCATCTCCTTGGGATCCATTGGCTCTTCCTGGCCATACCTTGGGATCTGTTGGCCCTTCTTGGCCATCCCTTGGGATCCGTTGGCTCTTCTTGGCCATCTCCGTGGGATCCGTTGGGTCTTCTTGGCCATCCCTTGGGATC